GAAAGATAGGGGTTTAGTTTCATTCTTCTACAGGTGGAGATCTAGTTTTTCTAGCACCATTTACTGAACATGCTGTCTTTCCTCCAGTGAATATTTTTGGCCCTTTTGTCAAATATCATGTTGCTGAAATTGCATGTAGTCATATTTGGGTCTTCAATTTTGTCATTGATCTATGGGTCTATTTTGTGCCAGTACCATGTTGTTTTTATGACTATAGCTCTGTAATACAGCTTAAAATCTGGTGTAGTAACCCCCAGCATTGCTCTTAGTGCTCAGGGTAGCTTTGGCTATCCAAGGTCTTTTGTGCTCCCATATGAATCTTAGGATTTTTTTTTTTTTCCAATTCTGTGAAAAATGTCATGGGGATTTTGATTGGCACTGCATTGAATATATAAATGACTTTTGGTAAGATGGTCATTTTCAATATTGTATAACTGTATTAATTCAACTGTAAACCTAGAAATTTATAGCCACTTGTGAAAGAGATGTACTCTTGCTCTGGAGTGTGTTACTGAATACGTTAAAGCTGTAATGAAATGCTGCTTCTAATCATGTAGTTATTAAAAAATTTTTTAAAAGAATCAAAAAAGGTTTAAAAATAAATAAATAAACTTTAAAATGGAAAAAAGAATCCTGGGCTAGAGCACACTGAGTGAAAATTAGGCTCGTATCACCAGATCCTGGCTGCTGTTACTGACAACTTGATCCAACTTAGTTTCTTTCTACCTTTTCTTTCAGACTCTCAGTCTGCCTTACACTAAAATAAGTGTTTACCGTTCAGCGTGTGTGTTGAATGTTAGGTTTAGCTTCACTATGATCTAAGACTGGAGATTCCGGTGTAATCACAGTAGTGCTGTGCAAATCTCCAGCTAGACCCTAGAGAGATGTAACCCAGTCAGAAGGCACAAGGACCCATCAGAGGACCACAGGCGATGCAAAAACAGACCCAAAGCGAGTAGGAACTAGATCAGGAGTTTCAGTTTGTGTCACCAGAGCCCCAAGAAGCCACATACCCAAGAGTGATACACTAATGGACTCTAGTCCAAGCCTTAGAGATGATTCAGAATTGAAACTAAGGTGCCTCTGTATAAAATCAGGTGATTAATCTGATCCCAGAAATGTAGTTCACTGAAATCATCATTCACCATATTTTGTGGGTTCAACAAACAGAAGGTACTAGAATAACAGCGGGAAGTGGAAGAGGGCTAGTTCCCTTAAAAATCCATGCGTTGTCAAGACTGACCATGTTCTGAGCACGGTGAAGCATCTAGACATCGCTTAATGTCCTAAGTTTAAAACACAGAAGTGAAAGTTTAGCTACAGTTTGTGCAGCTCCACAGCTATGTCAATAAAGCTGATTTGGATCATAGAATATTCTATTGTCTCACATAGCCAACCTTTTCAGTCACTAAAGCCTGGGAAGTGATGTCAGTGACTTGCATGTTGTAGGATGATACACAGGTCGAGCCAGATCTTGTTTAGAAGAGAATCTGTCTTGCAGTGTTTGGCAGTCACTGTTTATACTTTAAAGATTGTGTTGTAAGCTATTTCAGAGTGTCGCTCAGAGTATTACTAGTTATGTAGAGGAACTGGTCACACGTAACCTGCAGAAATATTGTCATATAGTTTATTTCATCATTTTCTGTCGAAAAAACAAACGTACCACAAAATGTCAGCCATATCCCTGGCATATGGTCTATTGTAAATACTGTTCTGAAATGTTTAACTTCTAAGTTACTTTCTTACATTTATTTATTTATTGTGTATGTGTTTGTGTAACTGGGAATGCATGTGTTATGGTATACATGTGGAAGTCAAGAGAATAACTCATGGGAGTTGGTTCTCTCCTCCCACCACATGGATCCTGGAGACCTTGGCAGCAAGCACCTTTACCCACTATCTCATCAGCCCTAAATTACTTTTTAAAATATTTTATTTATTATTTTTATTTTATGTGTATTCGTGTATTGCCTGCATGTAGGTAAGTGCACCTGTGTCATGCAATGCCCAAGGAGGACAAAACAGGCGGTTGGATCCCCTGGAACTGGAGTTACGGACAGTTGTTAGCTCCCATGTAGGTGCTGGGATTCGAACCTAGGTCTTCTGCAAGAAAAACCAGTGTTCTTAACTGCTGAGCCATCTCTCCAGCCCCTAAATTAATTTTTATAAGTCAATAATTTTTTGAAATCTATTTTATAAATAAAAAGCTGTAAACAGTAAAGAGCAAGAATTTGCTGATGCATTGCCAGTATGTGTTTGTATGTGTGTGTGTGTATATATATATATGTGTGTGTGTGTGTGTGTGTGTGTGTGTGTGTATATGTATATATGTGTGTGTGTGTATGTGTAGACATGTGCTACAACTCACATGGGGAGGGCAGAGGGCAACACCTCCCATCTCTCAGTAGGAGTACTGGGATCACAGATGCATGCTACCACATACATGTGCTACAACTCACATGGGGAGGGCAGAGGGCGACACCTCCCATCTCAGTAGGAGTACTGGGATCACAGATGTATGCTACCACATTCAGCTTTTTATATGGGTTCCAGGGATTTGAACTAAAGCCTCCAGGCTTACACAGCAAACATGTTCATCCACTGGGCCATCTTCCCAGCCTGGCATTGCCAATATCGAACGACCAAAGAGGCCCTTGTTAATGTAGCAGCTGCATCCATTTAACAAGTCTGTCTGAGAAGCTGAGGGATATTTATGAGCCTGCCACAGTGATATGATTTTATTCAATGAATATCTACTGTGTCCCAGGCACTGAGCAAGGTGTCTGTAATAAACTTTAAAATGAGGCACAATATCCACAAAGACAGAGCTCAGTCTTTCGGAGAAGACAGGTAGGTAAGCAAAAATGTCGACAGAGTATGTTTTACCTCAAAGTGCTGTGAAAACTCAGAGGAGGGAACTAATCTTCCTAAAAGGGTCAGAAAAGAATTCTCAGAGGAGGGCTACAATGTGGCTTGGTTGGTACAGTGCTTGCATCACAAGCCCAGGGTTCGATTCCCAACACCACATAAAAGCAGGAACGGTCTTGATGTCTGTAGTCCCAGCACTGGGGAGGCAGAGGCAGGAGGATTAGGAGTGTAAGGTCATCCTCAGCTACATAATGAGTTCAAGGCCAGCCTAGGCTACATGAGACCCTGTCTCAAAAAATAAGTCAACAAGAAAAGGGCTGGTAAGATGGCTCAGTGAGTAGAGATGCGTGCTATCAAGCCTGACGATCAGAGTTCAGTTCCCTAGAACCCACATGATGAAAGGAGAGAATTGACTCCTGTAAATTGTCCTCTGACCTCTGTGTGCATACAGACATATTAATTAATTAATTAATTAATCAATAAAAACTTTTTAATTTTTTTTTTAAGAATCCTCATAGGACACCAATCCTTGAAAAATATGAAACATTCATACATCCAGCTAGCTGGCCTTCCATTCATTCATTCAAGTGTGTGTGAATACTTTTGACTGTTTTGGGTGCTATAGAACCAACACTGAGCAAGACAGATAAGCTCTCACTCTAGTGAAGTCTCCATTCTGGTAGATAACGTTAACAGGAAACACAGTCCTTAAGTCCATCAAGTATGGATCTTCCACCTCATTTCCTTTTCCATGTGGATTTTCTTTCTGATGCCAGAGTGTTTTAACCACTCAGCCCAGAATATTTCAATCCTTTCCATAAGTATAGCTCTCAATATGACGCTAAAATACCAGTTCATCATAGTGGGAAAAATCCAGATAAATTAAACTCTGAAAATGTAGTGCTGAGCCTCAGCTTCAAGTAGAAGTCAACATGAGGGTAGCAGTGCCCGACCAGACATAAAACACCCGCACCTTACCTCACCAGTGGAGAGGTCTTTGCCAGTCCAGCAATGAGCTGTCTTCCCCAGGAAAGGGTGGATGGAAGAAGAATAGAGTCTCTTTGAAAGTCCTAGGAAGAACGTCAGATAGCCCGCACCTCACAGAGCCAGCCAGGTTCCCTGAGCCAGACCGGAGGGCTCCTTCCACCACCTGCTGACCATGTCACACCAGGATTCCCACAGCTCTGAACACCAGGGACTCTGTGACAGCTACTTCCTGAAAGAACATTCAGCAAGGAAGTAGAGGAACTGGGGGCCAGCACCTTCACTTCTGCATAGAAGCATCCTTCTGTGAGTGTCACGTGACCTCTGGGTCCCTTCTGGCCTCTGCACCCACTCTGTGGTATTTAAAGATGTCAAGGGAATGTGTCTCTGGAGAAAGCTTCTCCACACTATTAGAGAGGGGAATTCAGGTCACTGGAACTGGCGATTTTAAGCCCAACTGCCCATAGAAACCACTGCAATTTCATAACAGTTCCAGCTTCTGCAAGGGCAGCTGATACCATCTTCCCGTTTGCTCACACTTCTGCTTTGCCCCCACCCCCACAAGTATCAGCTGCCAGCTTTTCCTCATGTAGCTTTTCTCTTTGCAGTTGTTCAAGTAGCATATTTGTAGTCAAAAATGTAAAATACAGGAGCTGGAGAGATGGCTCAGTGGTCAAGAACACTGACTGCTCTCGCAGAGGACCAAGGTTCAGTTCCCATCACCCACACCGGCATCTAACAACCGTCTGTAACTCTGGTCCCAGGGGATTCAACACCCTCTTCCATGGGCATTACACACATATGGTATACTTACATACATGCAGGAAAAACACTCATACACATAAAAAATTAATGTGAATTACAAATGATAAGCATTAAAAAAACAAAGTAAGGCTTTCCCCTAGTATCCCCATTTGAAGATAAGCATTGAAGGTGTGTGATATACAAACTTGTTGGCTTTTTTTCTAAGGATGAAGGAGTGAGGTAGATTCTAATATGAGATTTTCAACATCCATTTCATCCTACAGCATCAGTTAACACCCAGGCAAATTTCTGAAATCTCTCCATCTCCTGAGAAGAATCTGCCATGAAAACATTTGTTTCAGGGACCAGTATGCACCAGTCCTAAGCCAACCAATGCATTACATTAAAAAGCATATGATTAGCCAGATATGGCCATTCATGCCTGTCATCCCAGCACCCAGGAGGCTGAGGAGGAGGACCTCAAATTCAAGGTCACCCTGAGTTATTTGGCCTATATAATGTGGGATGGGGATGGGGGGTGACTCAGTGGCCGAGCTCACTTAGCATTCATGAGGATTTGGGTTTGATTCATAGCACAGCAAAATAAACAAGCAGATGATTAAGGTAGTCTAATCAGAGGGAGGCCTGAGATCCTGCTAGCATGTGAAGAGATGATCCTCTGGGCCAGGAAGAGGCTGATGCCAATGTGGATGGCTGCCATCTTGCCACCATAGAGAAACCAGCTTCAGGGAAGAAAGAGGAGGAGGAGAAGAGAGAAGGGTGTGAGGGGCAGAGATAGAGGAGGAAGGGGGGAGGGGGAGGAAGAGAGAAGGGGTCGGGGGGGAAAGGGGGATGGGTGAAGGGAGAGAGGGAGAAAAACAGAGAGGAGAGGGAGAGAGGGAGGGAGAGAAGGAGGGAGAGAAGGAGGGAGGGGAAGGGGAACCAAACTAACTGTAAAGAACTTTCTCAAGCTAGGTATAGGGGCATACATCTATAATCAGAGCACTAGAGATGTTGAGGCTACATCTTCATTGAACTTGAAGCCAGCCTAGGCTGCATAGTAATACCCTATCTCCAAAGAAACCAAAATAAAGCAAAACAAAATTAACTTCTGAGTTGCTAAATTAAGCCAACACCAAAACTTATCATTTGTAGAGTTTCTAGTTAGATGACCCAATTATTTTGCTTGGTTATTGAAGTCAGTTTAAATTGGCTTATGTTGAATTTTTTATTTACTTATTGTCCTAGTTTTTTTCTTCATTGCTGTGACAAAACACTCTGACCACTACCAACTTGGGGAGGAAAGGGTTTATTTATCTTACATCTCCCGGGCCACAGTTCATCAGGGAGCCCAAGGTAGGAACTCAGGGCAGGAACCTGGAAGCAGGAGCTGGAGCACAGACCATGGAGGAACACTGCTTACTGGCTTGCTCCCCTGATCCCTGCTCAGCCTGCTTTCTTATGCAACACAGCCCAGGAGTAGCACCACCCACAGTGGGCTGGGCCCTCCCACATCACACAACAATCAAGAAAATGCCCCACAGACATGGCTACAGGCCAGTTCAATGGAAGAAATTCCCCAATTCAGGCTCCCTCAACCTAGGTGTGTCAAGTTGACACTAAAGCTATCCAGCACACTTATTTATTTTTGTACAAATGTTTTGATTGCAGGTGTGTTTATCAGTGTGTGTGTGTGTGTGTGTGTGTGTGTGTGTGTTTGTGTCTGTGTCTGTGTCTGTGTGTGTGTGTGTGTGTGTAGTGCCTTTGAAGACCAGAAGAGGATGACAGAGCCACCATGTAGGTGCTCAGAGTTGAACCCGGTCCTCTGTAAGAACAGCACGTGCTCTTATCCCGAGCCACCTCTCCAGCCCCTCATATTGATAGTTTTATAAAGATGCATGGCAGCCAGGCACAGTGGCTCAATCTCGTAATCCCAGCACTTGAAAGTTCAGGCAGGAGGATGGAGAATTCAGGGTCAGCCTGGACTACACAGTAAGACTGTATCTCTGAAAAACAAACAAAACACTTAAATCCCATTTTATATCCACACACTAGCAAAAGAAGAAAAAAAGTATGTATCAAACTGTTGACATTAACTAAGTCAGGGATTTGGGATTATATAAAAGTTGGAGAGGGGTTATGAACTTTCATTTCTATTTATTTGAAAATTTTAAAATAATGAGCCTTTTTCTTCCAAATAGCTCCGACTAAACACGTTACTTCAGCTGGCTGAACACTTATTTTAGTCGTCCCTTCCACTTAAGTTCCAAGCCTTATTCTTTTTTTTAATCCCATTTATTTATTTTGTGGAAGGTGAGGCACAAATGCCCAGGGAGGTCAGAGGGCAATTTGCAAGAATAGGTTCTCTCCTTCCACCACGTGTGTTCCAGGGATCAAACTCAGGTCATCAGACTTGGCAACAAGTGCCTTTACCAGCTGAGTCATCTCACTGGCCCTAACCTCTAATCTTCATGAACAGGAAAATTATAATGGGGGAAAAGATGGGAAACCCACAGCAGGTTGAATAGTCACTAATTCTGACTAAGTGAGACAAAATGATAAAATTAAAACAAATATGTTTTATAGCTGCTGTGGGCCGTTATTCAATGCATCAGTATATTTCTTTTCAGATACACATTTTCATTTTTTAAAAGGTTTAAGTAAAGGACTTGTGTGATATGTTGGTCAGCAAAGTGCTTGCCTTGTAAGCATGAGGACCTGAGTTCAGAACACATGTTTTAAAAAGGCTGCGGCATAGTGACTCTTGCTTGTATTCCCAGTGCTGTGGAGGAATAGGCAGGTGGGTCCCTGGGGCTCATTGGCCCACCAGCCTAGTTTACCTGTCAAGTCCCAGGCCAATGCAAGAGCCTGTCTCAAAAAGCAAGGTATAAGGCCCACAAGATGGCTCTGTGAGTTTGCCGCACAGACCTGGAACCCACACAAAGGTAGAAGGAGAGAACTGACTCCACAAAGTTGTCCTCTGACCAGCATACATGCCCACATACATCATGTACTTAGACACACTCACACACAAACACACATGCTAATAAACTTTTTAATTTTTTTTAAAAGGCTGTTGGGGCTGGAGAGATGGTTTGGTGATTAAGAGAACTGACTGCTCTTGCAGAGGACCTGAGTTCAATTTCCAGCACCCATATGGCGGCTAACAACTGTCTGTAACTCCAGTTCCAGGGGATTTGATACCCTCTTCTGACTTCCACAGGCATTACAGGACACAGGTGCACTTACATCTCTGTGAATTCAAGGCCAGCTTGGTCTACATAGCAAGTTTCAGGGAGACCCTATCTCAAAAAGACCAAAAAAAAAAAAAAAAAAAAAAAAAGAGGAAAGTTATTTTAGGACTACTGGATTCTGAGGCATAACATATAATATGTGTCTCAATATGTTTTTCCCGTGAAAGGAAATTGTTTTAAAAGCTTTCAGTATACATATGACAAAAGGGTTTTTTTGTTTTAAAAATTCCTTATAAATTTTAAATATTCACGTTTCTATAAATGCACAAATAAGTTATATTTTTAAAATTACAGTTATGAGATGGCTTAGCAGTGAAAAATACTGCTCTTGCAAAGAATCCAGTTGTGGTTCCCAGGAGCCACATGGTGGCTAAAACCTGTCCTTAATGCCAATTCCAGGGATCCAATGCCTTCTTCTGACCTCTGCAGGCATCAGGAATGCACATGATGCACTCACACACATGCAGGCAAAACACTCATACACATAAAATAAAAATAAAATCTTTTAAAATTTTTATTTATTATTTTTATTTTGTGTGTGTATGAATGCATTGTCTACATGTGTGTAAGTGCATCTGTGTCATGCAATGCCTGCGGGGGTCAGAAAAAGGTATCAGATCCCCTGGAACTAGAGTTATGGACAGTTGTCAGCCACCATGTGGATGCTGGGAATTGAACTCAGCCTTCTGCAAGAACAACCAGTGCTCTTAACTGCTGAGCCATCTCTCCAGCCCTAATAAAGTCTTTAAAAAAAAAAAAATACAGTTGCAAGTGTCTCTTGAATAGAAAAGAATCTGAGAGGATGGATGTCAAATTGCTAAAATTACAATAGTCTTTTCCCACCATGGGTATTGGGCTAGCATATGGGAGTGTGGGAAAAGCTGACCTTTTATGTTAATCAGGTTGGTTTGTGCTCATATATTGAATTTATAAATTTGAAAACAATTTAAAATTTTAGGATGGGAAAAAATAAATATGGTCTTTTATATGAAAAACCTGCCTTGTGATTTTTACAGGGATGTGTTCTGTCTGAAAGGAAAGGGTGAGTTAGGTAAGAAGACTCCTGCCACCTGTAACAAAAAGCCTCAATTCAAACTGACCTACAGTCACAAAACCTGTAAGGCTGGTTACTCTGGAAATGCTATGGTCATCCAGATGAAGGGTCTTTCTATCTTTTTCTGTATCACTCTCTACAAGCTGGACATTTGCCTTCAT